TGGACCCGCTTTTCTCTTGTTCAGAGTTTTATTCTATTCAGAAGCAATTTTCTCCCACTTCAACGCTCCTCATTATACACCCTTTCATTCAAAATGTTAATTCTCCCTCCTCTTGTAATTTAACCATCCGCTAATCATTTCTGGGATGGAAACACATATTCCTAAGTGAGACTCTTTGAAGAGCTGAATTAAGCGGACAGTGGGCTTGTTTCTCAAATTTCTTGTCTAATGGTTAATAGAATTGCCAACGAAGAACTTTTTCAGAATCTCAGAGAACTATTCATGATAATGTTTTTGTGCAAACTAAGCCTCTAAAAAACTTTTGGAACTGACAAAGGTTTATATGTCAAAGTAAAAAAAGACCAAAATAATACAAATTTGTTGCCCCCAAAATGATATTTATAAAAACGACTGTAGTCTGTAAAAATGAAACGCAGCTCTTTTCAAGTATAAAGGCACCCTATGGCAATAGGGTGCTAGGCTTGGGTCTTCTAGAAAACCCTTGGGAGAAAGTAAAAATCTGCATCTTCCACCAAATGAGTCTGCTTATAACACAAATGTTATAACACAAAAATGTTAGAAATGGGTTCAAGAAACAAAAATAAACTGGGTGTGGTGGTGCGCACCTGTAATCCCAGCACTCAGGAGGCTGAGCCAGGAGGACTGTCACAAGTTTGAGGCCAGCCTGGGCTACATGATGGGTTCAAGGCCAGTTAGGACACATAATAACATCCTGTCTCAAAACACACAAAAATTTTTGAAATTTTTTTAATTTTAAAAAGAAACAAAAATAAGATGATAGCAATTTAAAGAAGATAATGTTAATATGATTATTTTCTCTGGCTAGTTTTCTCTGTCACTACTGCTCCCTCATCTTCTGAGAGTTCAAGGGGCTATCTAATCAGTCTAATTTATGGACTCCAGAGGGAAAACAACCCCCTTAATGATGTCAGCAGTGAGCAAGATCAATTGAGGCTTTTGAGTGTTTGAAGTTGAGAGATAAAACAGGCATCAACTCCAAATCAGATCTCACAAATTTCAAAGAGAACTACAGATGCTAACTGTCCTTGCTAAATCCAGTGCCATCCTTTATTGCTGTTAAGAAGAAACATTAAAGATCTGAGAGTTATGAGTCACAGCTCCCTCCTCTTGTCATAAAATGAGAGCCTTCCCAGCCCACAGAATGCACAGCGTGGGAAATTACATGGAAGGGAAGCCGACCCCTCACCCCTCTCTGCGCCGAGTAATTGTGTGGTGTTTTCCCTCTGTGTGACTCAGCCAGGTGCCAAGCCCGGCCCAAGACTGGAGGAGCCCGATACAAAGTGAAGATGGGGTTCCCTTGTTCAAAATCAGGAAATACGCTGCCATTATAACCATTAACATATAAAGCTGCTCCTTTTCTTCTTGATTTTCCCCACCCCCTCTCCTTTGTCATAGTGTTTTATTTGCTATTCATGCCACTCTAAGTGAAGTGTTAAATTATTAGCATGAACTTTTACATTTCATCTTCATATTTTGCAATAAGTGATACCTCGGGGTGACACACCTGTGCAAACATAAATACACCACTGTCTCCCCTGGGCTAAGGATTCTTAGAATATACAGACAGAGCCATTTGCATCTATACATCCGTAGTGTGGTCAGGCATGGTGGTGCACGCCTATGATCACAGCACTAGGGAAGCTGAGGCAGGAGTACTGCTGCGAGTTCAAGGCCAACCTGAGCTTCGTAGTGAGTTCAAGACCAGTGTGGACTATACATAGTGAGTAGTCTCAAAAAAAAAAAATAAAATAAAAATCTGTAGCTCTCCAGTGCTATGCATGATGCCTCATACATATTAGGCAATAAATACATACTTAAGAGCAAAAGAGAGATGCATAAAAAGAAAATAAACTTTTAAAAACCAGTTTTGCCTGAACCTAGCACACTCATCCACTGACAGTGGAAATGTAAAATGTAGACACTACATTAGAAAATACCTCGACAGAGTTTCAAGGTTAAATATACACTCACTGTATGACTCAGCAATTTCACTCCTAGGTGCACACTCAAAAGGATTGAAAACATATGTTTGCACGAAAATTTGAGCATGAATAGAAGCATTATTCATAATGGCCCAAAAGGTAAAAACAACCCAAATGTCTATCAACTGAGAACAGATTTTTTAAAAACTTTTATTAGTACATGTTTGCAATACATAATGATTATATTCATCATAGGGAACTGATACATAATACATTTCCGTTCTTTTTTTCTTCTCTCCACCACCCTTTTATTTTGCCAGAATCAGATGCATTTATTTAGAAGACCTTATAAAGTTAATTATATATACAGATCAAAAACTGGAATAATAGGCAAAAATATGTATTATAGCCATACAAAAGAATATTATTCCGCTAAAGACAGAGGTTCTGATTTGTACTATGACACAGATGACCCTTGAAAACATGCTAAGTGAAAGAAGTCAGAAGCAAAGAAGCCCACATGGTGTGACACTGTCTAGGTGACATGTTTGGCATAGGCAAATTTACCTATACCAATTTTTTAAAAAATCAGTTATGCCAGCTGTGGGGACACATACCCATAATCCCAGCACTGGGGAGGCTGAAGCAGGAGGATCACCGTGAGTTTGAGGCCAGCCTGGGCTACATAAGCGAGATCAAGGCCAGTCTGCACTGTATAGTGAGACCCTGACTAACAAAAAAATAAAGTTCTGCTTCGATCCATTTCTTAGTAGTGGCATGACCTTGGAAAAGCTATGTGACGTCTGAACTTCAATCTTCTTGGCTATAAAATGGGGAGCAAATAACATGTAATATTTAGGACTGTTTGTGGAACAAAGTTAGGTGTTAAACGCAAAACAATTTTAGTCTCTAGCCCGCGCTGCTAGTCCTCGCCCTCTGTGTCAGGGGAGGTTGTCCGTGGGCTCCCTCACTCCCACTGTGCCCCAGAAGAAATTGCGAGGGGAATGAGAAAGAAGGAACAGAGAACGGAAAATCTCCTCTCCCCGTTTCCCCTCGGGAGTCGTGGGGCTGGGGCTGCTTCCTCCTCAGCAGAAGCCTGCTACCTGGAAGAGACCAGGAGGGGGCGCACTATTGCTCCAAACTTGATGGTCTCTGGTTACAACAGCAAAGAAATGTGGGTTCCTGGGGCTCAAATAAACTGAACACAGTATGAGATTTCTCGCTGGGCTGAGACTGGGCAGGAATACAGTCTCAGGGAGGAGAGGGAAGTCCCATGTGTGGCATAGCCTGAGATTTAAAATACATTTCTGTTTTTTTGTTTTGTTTTTGCTTTTGTTTTTCATCTTTTTGAGAAACTATATTTCACTATACAGTTCAGGCTGGCCTTGAGCTCACTATGTCTGTATACTAACAATGCATGATTTCTTTTGTTTCGATTTTGCTTTTTGGATAGAGGAGTCTACTTTGCAGTTCAGGCCGGCCTTGAGTTCATTTTGTTGCCCCAGTTGGCCTCAGACTTAAAGTGATCCTCCTACCTCTGCCTCCTCTCTGGGAGTGCTGGGATTCCAGGCCTGCAGTGCGGTGGTACAGGCCTGTAATCCTACCACTCCCAGAGAGGAGACAAGAGGATCGCAAAATTCGGGCCCAGTTTAGGCAGTTTAGCAATTTAGTGAGACCCTTGAGGCCTTTTCTCAAAATTAAAAATATAAAAAGGGGTGGAGAGGTGGCTCAGTATGAAGACCCTCGGTTCAGTTCCCTGGATTATACACCATGCTCCCCCCCCCAGAAAAGATAAAGTAGACTTCCAGACGCTGAAAATACAATGCTGGAGCTGGGCGACAGGGAAAACAGAGAATTGTTGTCTGATGAGTATAAGTTTCAAACAAGATGAGTAAGTTTAGAGATCTGCTGTGCAATACAGTACCTACAGTTAGCAATACATCGTGGCATACTTAAAAACTTGTTAGGAGAGTCAATCTCGTGTTAAGTGTTCTCACCACAAAACAAAAGAAAAAAGATTCGGGGAGATGTTGAATGTCTATCGCCTTGATTATGGTGAAAGTATCATGGGTGTCTGCATCAAATTGTAAACATTAAATATGTGCAGTTCTAAGCCTATCGATTATACCCCATAAAGCTGCTTAAAAATGTGAGAGTGACCGGGTGTGGTGGCTCACACCTGTAATCCCAGCACTCAGGAGGCAGAGGCAGGAGGATCGTTGTGAGTTTGAGACCAGCCTGGGCTACAAAGTGGGCCTGAACTGCACAGAGACCCTGTCTCAAAAAGACCAAAAAAAAAAAGTGAGAGTGGAAGGTCCGGGTAAGGAGTGCTTTTTTGTTTCCACTAGGAGGCGCTGTTTGCTCTCTGGTCACCACACCCTTGTTCCATGCAACCACGTGACCAGTCTATCCCCCCCCACCATCTCTAAATGTCAAAATCATGCCCCACTTCTGTCCCCATCCACCACAAATGTTGCTACTACCATAAAACTTTCTCTGAACTGCTTCCTGCCTTGCACTCCTGCCAACTTTCTCAACTCTGACTCAATCTGAATTGTCAAAGCACCTCTTTATGACTGGGCTGCACCATCTGCCCCTTTCTGCCTGGCCCCAAACTATTTCAGTACAAGGTGCTGCACTGGTTCCCTAGAGCTTCCTAACAAATAACCACAGCTGGAGTGGCTTGAAACAACATAAATTTATTTTCCTACAATTCTGGAGGCCGGAAGTCCAAAATCAAGGTGTCAGCAGGCTCTGAGGGAAAACCAGTTCCATGCCTCTCCTCTCTTCAGGTGGCAGTGGCAACCTGTAGTGTTCCTTGGCTTGTGGCTGTGTAAATCTCTAGGCCTCCAATTCACAGGGTCATTGTTGTGTGTATACCTGCCCCTTTTCTGTCTCTTATAAGGACACTGTCATCCAATTTATGGCCCACCCCAAATCTAGGATGATCTCACTTGGAATTACATCCTAATCTTAGCCTTAATTATATCTGCAAAAGCTGTATTTCCAAAGAAGGCCACATTCATAGAACAGGAGCCAGGTTTTGAACATATCTTTATTAGTTGTTGGTTTGTTTGTTTGTTTGTTTTTGCAGAGTAGGGGAACAATTCAACCCATTACAGTTATCACCATCAGACTAAGTTCCTTCAGATCACAATCTATGTATTGTACCTATTTCTTTGCCCCTAAGTGCCTAGTACAGTGCCTTCAGAGTACAAAGTACTCATTATCCTTGCCTGAGTTAGCAGGTAGATTGATGGTGGTTGGACAGATGATAGGTGTTATCTAACTTACTAGATGCAATCTTAACACAGTCAGAATTGAGAAGTCATGCATTAAGGATTCATGGGCCTCATAGAAACTTGATCATTCCAGGTACGACTCAATGAAAAACCACTGCAAGCCTCTCATAGCCACGTAGCTTAAATGAAACCTCCAAATCTCTGCACATTTATTTCAGCTGAAGCCTCTCTGGCCTTCAGAGACTTAAATTTGGCTCAAACCCCATGTGTCACAGACAGTGAGGATCCACAGCCCTCCCTACAGTTCCTGAAAATTCCCCAGTCTTCTTCATTGTCCTAATTTGTCATTCACCATGTGTTATTGATTCCTTCTCTTGCCAGAGGTCAGACCCTTTCTCAGTTGTTGCACAAGATCCCCAATCTTCCTCCCACTCTAAGCATTCTGTGGACTTAGAACTTTGTTAAAGTTTGGAGTTTTACAGTTTTACTTTCTCACTGCTGTGCCACAATACTCGACACCTAGGTCTCTAAGGAGGAAAGGTTTATTTTGGCTCACAGTTTGTAGAGGTTTCAGTTCATAGTTTTGGCAGGCTCTAAGGCAGGGTGGCATGGCAAAGGAGAAACAGTTCATGGCATGGTGCTAAGAAGCAGAGAGGAGTCAAGGAAGAGAAGGAAGATGTACCCTTGCAGGCCACACCCCCAGTGACCCACCTCCTCCCACCAGGCTTCACCCCCCAACATCACACTTAGCTATAAACTCATCAGTGGACAAATTCACTGAAGAGTATCACACCCCATGATTCAATCATCTACCAAAAGCCTCACCTGTGAGCACACGAGGCTTTGGAGGGACATCTAGACAGAAGCCATAGCACACACTACACACATTCTTTGACTATTTTGCTCACTGCATTTTTTTTCTTTATTTTACTTTTCTCTTTCCTCTCCCTGCATGGTTCAAAACATGAATTTGTTTGCTCATCTCATGTCAGGCAGGTCTGCTCCTACTTAGACCCCTTGCCATCTCGGCTTCTATTCAAAACAGGCTGATTTATGAAAATTTAAGGCACAAAAGACAGAAAAAAGAGAAAGGAAAAGAAGAAAGAGACAGAAAAGGGGGGTTAGGACCTCCTAGGAGAAATTCTACTAGGTATCAAAATAATATTTTATTTTTCTGTGTTTTACAAATAATAATATATTAAAGATTGAAATTCTTTTGAGTGGGGAGAGCAATCTGGCAAGAGGATTTGGTCCACTCACTGTAGATTTCCCTTGGCCCTCTTACTAGAGTGAAGCGATCCTCTTAAGTTTACATTTAATTCTAATTGCAACCGTCATGATGATTAAACCTCCCTTTTTGTCATTGTCTTTTCTTGGCGTGATTCCTCTGAGTCCACTTGCATGCTATTGACCGTGTGCAAATCAGAGAGTCTGTGCTTTTTAACTGTGGCAAAACCAAAAGCAGCTTTTTGTGTCTTCCCAGAATCAGTTCCAAAACAGCTGTTAAATGTTCATCCTTGGATCTGTCATCTTATTTCTGGGAACTGTAACAAACAGCAGCATCTTCTGTTTTTCATTTTCACAAAACGAGAAAAAAATTTTCCCAAGTTGGGGCAGGGGGTAGAAGAGTAGTTAATGACTTATTTCCTCTCATTTCCTTAATCAGGAAATCTCATACTTCAGCGGCTGCAGGGTTCCCATTAACGTGCTTCTGACCTAAGCCAAGCTGAGTGAAACAGCTGGCTTTGCAAACCTCTCCCTGTTCCAAACCGAGAGGGGCCAGGAACGGCCATCTGACCCAGGGCGTTAGGAAAGCGAGGACATTTTTCATGGTCAGCAACGGTTCCAGCTCAAGCAGACTCGGTCCTCTGAAAAGTAATACACTAAATGGTCAACCAAGTGGGTGTTTGGGCATGAATTGGCTGGTGAGTTTTGCTTTAGGTAGATTTCTTTATGAAAACCTGGCAGTGAGTGATGGACACATTTAATACCTTGTGGAATGAAAAAGCACTCAAGAAAATCAAGACAAATTGGGCCTTTCCTTAGTTCAAGGCATTGCTTGAGGGCTAAGAGCTGACCAAAATGGCCATGATTAACTGTCATGATCGGTGTTTAAATTGCTTTTTACTCATGATTTTCACACCAGAGCTCTACAAGGGAATAATCTGAAGACAGCTTTGAAAAAAAAAAAATACTGGTAAGTGAACCCTGTTCCCAGATTTTGATTCATTGGTCTGGGTGAGGCTGGGCAATGGCGTTTTTAAACTACCCCACCCCCAACGAGGTTCTAATTTGCAGCCAGGGCAGAAGCCACTGACTGTGAACATCACAACTAGAAACAAGCTTTGAAACCAGCGTGTGATGCGGTGATGTGGGGTGACGCACTGCGGCTGTGCAGCACTGCACCAACCCCACCCCCTTTACAGTTGTGCCCTTTCATGGGGAGTTCTTCTCCTTTTGGACACGATCAACCCAAGAGGAAGTCATTTTTGGCAAATCTCTCCTCCTCTCTCCTCCCCTCCCTTCCCTTCTTCCCCCCCCCCCCAGGGAGATGCAAAGCTCATTTTCAGCACACACCATCTTTTAAAGAGCAAAGTCCTCCCAGGCCAGTACAGTCCTCGATAGGGAACGGGCTTCTAAATGACAGGCATCCACCACCGCCCGTCTGCATGAACCATGGCCCTCTCTCTTTTCTCACCCTACCCTGGGAAAAGTCACCAAAATGTGAGCCCTAGGAGAAAACGCTTAATGTCCCAACTTGCCAAACCGCTCTTTGTCCAGTAGGTTCCCATTTAAGAAAGGCTCCCTGATCTGCCCTCTTATGAAGCCACTGTCTCGGCAGTGTCCCCCAGCGGCACACAGCTCAAACGGTCACTCGCTCCCCCCCTCTACCCCCCTCCCCTGCCTACCCCTCGCCCACTGCCTGTTCGGCCCATTGTCCCTTCACCCTTTCCGCACCCGGCAGACCAAGAGGGGCGTTTACACCGCGCTGTACGGACCACTGTCCGGCTCTGAGCCTCGGGATGGCTCCTCATTTCAAGCCGAGTGAAATCCAAACGCACAAAGCCCTCCCGAGCCGGCCGCCTGCACGGGCGCAGCCATTCGTGCTGCAGGCAAGGCGGCGCCTTCTTCCGCCTGGCCCTCTCCTCCATGGCTCCAGACCCCCGCTGCCTGACCTTCCGGGAGCAGGACGACTCCGTCCTGCTCACGGCCTCTCCTCGCCATTCCCTTGTCCCGCAGCACCCTTTGTCTGGCACCATGCGTGGCTGTCTCCCGTCCTGCCACTCTCAGCTTATGGGTGACTCTCCGAACAGACCTTCCCTGACGCCCTTCTCCATTGCAGCATCCTAGTTCTTTCCTTTCCGGCACGGTACTGACTATACCTACTCTCTCTCTCTCTCTCTCTCTCTCTCTCTCTCTCTCTCTCTCTCTGAAACCCTGTGGGGGGGGGAAGACTCTTACTCATAGACCCACAGTTGTGTCTTTAGCCCCTGAATAGCCTGCCTGGCACACAGTAGGAACCCATCAACTATCGGTTGAATCAAGGAATGGATACCTGGGAAAGGAGCAGAGGGAACAGGCTGCATAATCCATTTCTGAGGCTGCCCCTCGCTGAATGACTAGGGTTGATTGCAGCTTTTGAAAACAAGGACTGTCAGATTTTACTTGCTGTGTCCACTGTGGCCATTAGCTATTGTTGACACATTTGTCACTCAAGTCATTATAATGAGTATCAATTAGGGCTCTGGCTACAACTGTAGAAACCAATTTATGCTAAGTTAACCGAAGTAAGAACTTGTGGAACCCACACAACACAGACTTAGAAAAGCACTAAAATCAAATTGAAGTTGTTAAGTAGTTAGAATGCTGGGGAATCCTCTCCTCCACCCTGACTTTTCTGTGCGCATTCTTTCTTTCTTTGAAGATCAGCTTTCTGCTCACCTGCTCCTTGCTATTTCTGAGCTTTTATGTTTCTGCTGCTCTATACCCAACATGGAGCTTGAATCTCATAGAATGGAAACTCTGAGTGTCCTGGGAAAGAGATTTTGGGATTGCCCATGAGTGCTCACCCCTGGACAATCACCTGTGGCCAGTGAGGCAAGGATGAATGCATAAACAGCCTCTCCGAGAAGCTACCATCATGAAAAGAGAGATGTGGGGAAGGGAGTGTGGAGGGACAAAGCCTAGTGACAGGAGAAATTGTTGGCTTGTTAGGTAGTAAGACACACCCCAAAACACCCACTATAAATTATCTACCAAGATTTGTTCAATTTCGGACACTCCTGGGCATCTTTTCCATCTGCTTCTTACAATCAGTTTCCACGCAGAGGGTCACAGATTTGGCGCTGACTCTTGAATTCCTGGAGAATGATGCTGAATGCTGAACTAGCAGCAGGAAAAAGGCAGGAAAAAAGGAAGAAGAGAAGTATTTGATGCCATGGAGAGAGAAGTAGATGAAGGGAAGCATATTTTAAGCATCAAAGCATGCTTCATTACTTCTAAGAGAATTTGATTAAGAAAAAAGTAAGCACTTATTAAGCCTGAAACCTCGATGGATTATTTGAAGTTGCCTTTGAATCATGTTTTAAAAACCAAATGATTCAGCCACCCAAGGAGTCCTTCTGTTACATGATCAATCGTACTTTGTTGTTAATATAGTAGTTGAAATATGTGGTGTTTCTGATTATATTGATAAAATAGCCTGTTTTTCTGCCCTTACACTGTTTTATGAAACATTATGCTCCAACACTGGTGCTTGAGCCTATAGAAATAGATCCATCAATATATTGAATTAAAAATAAGCAGTTTAGGGCCAGGGACAGAGCTCAGCAGCACAGTGCCTGCTAGGCAAGCACAAGGTCCTGTGTTTGATTCCTGCTACCAAAAAAAAAGTTAGTCAGCTTAAACAAGTTGCAGTAGTGCACACCTGCAGACCTAGCACTCAGGAAGCCAAGGCAGGAAGATTGCTGTGAGTTCGAGGTCAGCCTGGGCTACTTAATGAGTTCAAGGCCAAACTGAACTACATAGTGAGACCCTGTCTCATAAAACAAAACAACCACAAAAAAGATTTAATTTATCAGAAGAAGAAATACAAATGGTCAATAAATACATGAAAAAAATTTCTCAACATCTCTGGCCATTAGAGAAAAACAAATTAAAACAACACTGAGATGTCATCCTATTCCAGAAAGAATGGCCATCATCAAGAAATCAAATAATAAATTCTGGAGAGGCTGTGGGGAAAAAGAAATCCTCTATGTTGCTGGCAGGAAGGTAAACTAGTACAACCACTATGGATAGCAGTATGGAAATGCCTCAAAAAAACTAAAACCAGAAATTCCATTTCATCCGGGTATTCCCCTTCTAGGTATCTTCCTGAAAGAGTTAAAGATGGCATAGCACAGTGATGCATACATGTTGATGTTTACAGCAGCACAAATTATAACTAAATCTTGGAAGCAGCCTGTATGCCATCAGCAGATGAATAAAGAAAATGTAATATTTGCACACCATGGAGTACCACTCTACATTAAGAAGGATAAACTTAGGACTGGGGATGTAGCTCAGTGGCATAAGCGCCTGCCTTGCAAGTGCTCAGCCGTGAGTTTGATTCCCCTGTACCAAAAAAAAAAAAAAAAGAAGAAGAAGAAGAAGAAGAAGAAGGAAAAACTTTGCCATCTGGGCTAGATGCCCCCAGGAAGCCTACCCCCAAGGGCCCAGAGGAGAAGAGGCCACACCTGAGGCCCCACCACCTTGCACTTCTCCACTATCCCAGGAACGTGAGATCAGAGGAACCCAGGTGCCTAGCCCAATCCTCTGCACAGAGCGATGGACAGCCAGAGCAAAAAATGCCTGGGTCTCAGCAACTGGCTGACTCAAAGGAACACTAGAAAATGTCAAGTCAAAGGATCCAGGTACAATCTCAGACTCCAGCCCACCCAGAACAAGTCCAGGAGACATAGACACAAAAGAAATTAGATATCACACACCAGAAATTTCTGAAAAAAAGCAACTTAGTGCTTATGTTGTTTGATTAATTTTGTGTGCCTATATCTGGTAGTCTGAGCAACTATTTAGAGGATAACAGTGTGCAATATAGTAACTATTGTTGATTTCCTACTGTCTTGTTTTCCAAATCTAATATCATTCTCACCATTTTATTTTGTTTCATTTTATTATTTTGTTTTATTCTCTTTTTTAAAAAGGCTAAAGGAGTCATTTGTATGAAAACAGATGAATCTTGAGACCATAATGTTAGATGAAATAAATCAGATACAGAAGATTCAATGATCTGTCTTACATGAGAAATCCAAAGTATAAATAAAGAGCAAACTAAAAGACAGATAATACGAAACAGGGAGATAGATATTTTGCAAATGAGAAGGGAACCAAGAGATGGAGGGAGGGGGAGGTAGAGGGGAAGGAGATGATAAAAGAATTAAGATGTGTTATGCACATGTACCAACTCCCCACACAGAATGTTATTATTGTATATGGCAAAAATGCACTAATAAAAAATTTTTAAGATAAGTGGTTTAATTTATATGTTTGGTTTTAAATTTTATGGAATGATATCATGCAAGAGAACACAATAGGCATATTTATGGAAAAAACAAACTAGAAAAAAGTAATATGGAGATGGATGTGGTGGCACAGGCTTTTAATCCTAGCACTCTGGGAGGTTGAGGCATGAAGTCTGTAAATTCAGTGTCAGCCTGGGCAGTTTAGCAAGTCACTGTCTCAAAATAAAAATATTTAGCCAGGCATGGTGCCACATGCCTGCAATTCCAGCACCTGGGAGGCTGAGGCAAGAAGATTACCACAAGTTCAAGGCCAACCTGGGTTACATAGCAAGTTCAAGGCCAACCTTGGCTACATAGAGAGACCCTGTCTCAAACTACCAAAAAAATTTGTAAATAAAACTTTAAAATTTTAAAATGGCCTAGGAATGTAGCTGAGTAAGACCGTCTTGGGTTCAGTCTCCACAATCACACACACACACACACACACACACACACACACACACAGCAATATAGTATATTGGTTTGTGCTGTAGCTCTGAAAACTCATGATTCAAACCCTGTTTCTTCCTCTTAATTGTCTGGTTTTCAACAAAACAATTTTTTGCAATTTCAATTAAAAAATGCAAATGTTAACTGTACTTGCCCTTGAAACCATAGAGTATATTAGGAACTCTGCTTGGTTGTAAGCAACAGGATCCCTGACTAAACAGCTGTTTTAGTCACTTTCTCATTGCTAGGACAAAATACTCATCATCTGCAAGTTAAAGGAGGAGTGGTTTGTTTTGGCTAACAGTTTATAGAGACTCAGCCCATGGTTTTCTGGATTCAAAGCAAGACATCATGGCAGAGGGGCATGGCAGGCAAGAAAAAGCAAGGGGTTAAGGGAGAAAGTGGAATATGGACCCTTTTAGACCACACCCACAGTGACCCACCTCTGCCAACCAGGTTTCAGCTCCCACTTTCCCAAACCCAACAGTGGACTAATCTAGTGATGAGGATCACACCCCCATGATCCAGTCCCTTCTCAGAAGGCCCACCTATGAGCATGCAAGGCTTTGAGGAGATGTCTAGCTATAAACCATAACATCTAGATATAAACTATAGCACCAGGAAATGTCTTCCAACTCACCAAGGAGCCCAAAATTCCCAGCCTTGCTTAAAGGACTGAAAGATTTCAAAGCTGAGGTCGTTGTAATTCCCACAATCTCTCTCTCTCATAAGGCCAACATAGCTGCTACAACCTCAGCCCCGGTGTTCATAGTCCTAACAGGGAAAAGAAAGGAGGGGTGGTGACCAAATTAAGAAAGCAAAAAGTTTCCAAAATATTTAAGTCAGGATTCAGTACTGTAACAAACAAGACCTACTCACCAACGAATTAACACAAAAGGAAGTTTAGCTTATTTTTCACTCTTCCCAAGGTCATTTGATAGTAGACAGTGGAAGTTAAGGGGAGAAAATGGGACACAGCTTTTCTCAGGGAAATCCCCTCAGGAGTCAATTTAGAATTAGGGCTTCCAGGGTCCCACAAGGCATTTACAGCTCTGGACAACAGGAGGGCGAAGAATGGGAGTATAGGGAATTGTGTCAGAAGGTTTGGGATCCAGTCTAGATTGAGGTACCATATTTTTGCCCACATTTTATTGGCCATCATGAATGCAAGGGGAGCTAGAAAATATAGTCCCTGAATAGGCAGTTCTTCTCCGCAACATCTCAACACCAAGGAAGGAGAGCGAGACTGCCAGGGATACTGCTGGCTATGGCTACCACTTCAGAAACCCACAGCAACTTCTACATAGATTGTATTGTCCAGAACTGTGATGCTCGACCTCCCCTGGCTGCAGTGAAGGCTGGGAATGTACTTTTCTGCTGAAATCATTGCAACCCCAGTATCTTGGGTTTCTCTTAGCAAAGGAGAAGAGAAGATATTGTACAGGAAACCAGCAGTGTCTATCACTTATGGGAAAAGTGCTTAGCTCAGAAGCTGGCTCATAAAAAATAATCCTTAACTGCTGGCTATTGTTACTGCCATGATATCTTTCTTGGCTGTCTCTTCCGCTGTGATCTACTTGCTTGGTATTCTGAGTTTAAATTCTGGCTTGGCCTCTTGCTATCTCTCTGGATTTGAAATAGAAAACAGGAAACATTAAACCCATCTCACAAAGGCATTGCGTGGATACATTTTCATAGTAAACTTGACCAAGCCAATTTAGTATCATTTCACGAGTGCTCTATTATATGCATACTAGTAAATCTGAGTCGCGGGTGGAAGCTGCTCAAATGCCCATTGTATTCGTTTCCTCCAACTGCCAT